ATATTTTAGCATTTTAAAAAAGTAAATCAGAGCTAAAAAAGTGCAAAAACGCAGGCAAATTTGCCTGCGTTAGTCTATATATTAAGGGATAGATTACTGCTAATGCTGTGAAAGTTGAATAGGTATGAGAAGGGGAAAATATGTTTGTTATATGCCAGACTTGTTGGTTGTATTGGAGCTGCATTTATGCAAAAAAGGTTTTGGTTTTGTTTGTGTTTTTTATTTTTTTTGATTTAATAATAATATATAATTGTAGGTATTTTGGGAAAGTAGATTCAGTATATAGTTTCTATATCTGTGTCTGTATGTTTTCAAATAGTTGTGGAAAATAATAAGTTGTACAGTAATTCAAAGTTGGCAAAGCAGAATGAGTATTGTATTGTTTGAGCAATGGTATAAGAGGTCGAAATAGGCAGCTCAGTTGTCTATAGATTAGTCTTCTGCAATCAACTTGAATTTTGTAAATAGATTGTGTTAATATTTTAAAGTAGCAGTATTTAGTTTTAAGTAAGTAATCTTTTCTTAACAGCCAAGGCATAGAATGAGTTGCTTTGGGTTAAGTGGATAAGAAGTGTATTGTTTAATTTTTGCTAGATTGTTTGTTGAACTTGTGATTTTGCCAAACTTTTTTTTACAGATAATAATTCATTTGCCAGTAGATGAGTTAATTGGTACAAATGTAAAGGGATTCGGAAAGATCAATGTGGTTTATGGGTTTGAGGACTGAACTATTATGTCTATAACATTCTTAAACCAGCAAGGAGTTTTTCCTCTAGAAATTTTTTGAATATTGTAATGAAAAGAGTGCCAGTCTAGCATATAAGTGTTTGTATAATCTAGAAATTGCTTAATACAGGTAATGTTGTGTATATTTAGCTTGCTTTTTATAGCTACAGGATGTTTGATGGAGGATAGGATTGAGTTGATCGAGGTATCTTTAAATTGTTTGGGAATTGGCCATAGTTAGTTTGATAAAACAACTGAATATTAAGCTTGTGAAGTGTTATTATTGATTGAGCAGTATTAGTTTTGTATTTCTTTGCAAGAAAGATCAGTTTTTCTAAAAAAATAAATAGGTTGGAATTAGCAGCATTCTGGAGTTGTTGTAGTCAAATTTTGATACTTAAATTGTCAAAGTCTAGTGCATAAATACTGTAATCCAAAGTTCTGATTTGTTATTGTTGTTAAATATCATAAAGTGTGTTTAATACATAAATCAAAAGATAGTGTAAAGTGAAGTTGGGTGTTGATTAGGATAATTGTATCTTCTGTTTGACTATATTTGTATAGAATTTTGTGATTTTGAAACATGCAAATTTTGTTAGATATATGTTTTGCATTTGGTATACTGCATGTGTTAGGATTACATTATTGATGATGTAGATCGCTTGTTTGTTAGTAATTTTTGTGTATTAAATTTTTTTTAAATTTGAGATAATTTCGTTAGTAATGAGACTTTTTGCTGCTTTTAAGGAGGGATCTCATATAAGCCAAATGCCTAAATGGTGAAAAATATCTTTGAGTTTAATGTTTGTAATTTGTTGTCCTTAGAAGGTAATAGAGGCTTGTGGGTTTGAGTTGTTGGAAATTAAAGTCGATTTGTGTGGATTGATCTTGATACTTGCAAATAAAGCCATGCAAAATTAATTAATTAGTTTTTATAACCCAGCCAGGTCTAAATTTGAAAACTTCTAAAAAAATTTTTTATATGTTTTAATAACCGGGTAGGTTTTGAAAAAAATTTTTATATAAATTTTATAAAATTTTATATATAAATTTAAAAAAAAAAAGCTGGCCGGCCAGGTCTATTTAAAAGTTTTATGTTATAAAAACCAAGTAATTAAATTTGTATGGTCTAAGAGAAAAGAGTTAACTATTTTTAATATATCTTGTAATTTATTTTTGTTTTTGATGAATTATAAATAGTAAATTATAAATAATATAATTAATAAATAATATTTAATAAAATTATCTTACTGATAATTATTTATTTATGAAGTAATTTAAAAGTAATATTTTAGTTTTGATAAGTATATTCTTTAATAATTTTATTAAAAAAATCTTGCAACTTGTTATTCTCTAAATACAATTAAAAAACATTGTTTGCTATTAAGTAATATCTAATAAATTATTAATTTTTGGTTATTCTAAAATTATTACAAGTTCTATTCAAATTTTGTTGCCATCTCTAACCAGTTTTACTAATTTACTAGTGCAGTTACTGTATTTGGATCTAATGAAGTAAGATAATTATTAATAATATAACTAGCACAATGCACCCCAACATTCTGTACCAGGTTATGTCAATTAATATGTGGTGTAACTATAGGATTAGCATAATCTAGGCAATCAGATTAGACAATAAATGAACATTGCTTTTTTTATTACAATAAAACAATAAAGAGATATATAGTCACCTCTCTCTAATCTGAATCTCTTTAATCTAAACCATAATAAATCTGTGAGAACCGAACGAAAAACTTTAGAATATTTGTAAATTTTATTATAAAGTTCAAATTAGTAATATAATACCTCTCTGAGAACTGAACTTTTAACTAATTTTACTATTCAGAATAGAAAAAGTTGACTATATATCAAAACCAATATTAGTGGCATATTAAATAGTTCAAATAATTTGCAAAAATTAAAAATTCTAATGATAATAATAAAATTATACTTTTATAATATTTATAAATTATAATCCAAAATTTTTACAGTCTAGAATGTCAAAGTTCTTAATATAATATACATATAAAAAAATATTTGCTTAAAAAAAAGTACACTAATAAATCTCAAATAAACATATTCTATATATGTGGTGGTCTTTAGTAACTACCTATAAGAGAAGCTCAAAAGTAATAGAAGATCTCTTATGATTATAATGTTTGTATGTTTTGAGGAAAGTATCGATGTATTTATTTGTGTTTTTGACTTATTTTATAAACAAACAAATAATATTTTATACTTTTCTATTGTTAGTGAAGATAAGTAAACTATTTTGTAATTTATTCTTTATTTTCTTAAGCTAAAGAAGCCAAGCCTTCTAACTTTTTCTATTTTCTTATATATATAATTTAACTCTTAAATGTATATCATATCTCTGATAGTTAACTTGGTCTTAATTATATAATAGTTTAATCATATCGTATTTTGGCTTTATTCATACTATGCATAATTCATGCATCATTGTTAATTCTTAGTAATACATAGAGAGCCCAGACTGTTAATCTTCTATAATCCAATCATCAACCCACATGGTCTCAAAAGAATAGTTTGAATGTGAAACTTTATTTTTATTTTTTTTATTTTTTTTTGTTTTATTTTCTTTATTTTGGTGTATATTCAAGAATTTAGTAGCGTAAATATAGCCTTTGTCTTCACGATCATATAATTGAGAATATAAATTTATATTTATAAATTGTGCAACAAGTAGAAGTATAGCTTTTTAATTATCAAGCATAATTATATAAATGACAATAAGCATCTAATTTTAATACTAGTTTAAAGCATTATATGAGATATTGTTACTCAAATTGTGCCTTTTTTTATTTGTTTGTTGTACTTTATATTTAGAAATCTCTTGAAATATATTCTTCTTGTTTATTATATCTTTGCTTATTATTTTCAATCCCAGTTTTTCTTCATTTTACAGATTCTGGCTGGACATGAATTGCTGCACCACCTTTAATTTGTATAGAAAAATTTGGGTTGTAGAGAAATGTAATTGCCCAGGCAATTGATCGTGATTTGGCTGCTCTATATCTTTCAGTAAATGGTTCAAATACTTTTCTTAATTGTGGTTCACAGTTTCTATAATCATCACTAATTTCTTTTAAAAATTTATCAAATGATGAATTATTAATATTATCAGTCTCTATTTTATTTTCTTCAAATTCACTAAATTTTAATTATAATAATGATATTAGTATGTATTTATTAAGAATACAATAATTTAAACTAAACAAACCTATCTGTTTGATTATTTATTTGTTTATCTATTTGATCATTTTTTTGTTCATCTATTTGACTATTATTCTGTTCATCTATTTGACTATTTTTTTGCATAGCTTTAGTATGTAATGATGCATAAAAAGAACAATTTTTTGTATTAATGCCTTAAAAATTATAAATATTATTAGTAAATAAATAAATTTAAGCTTTAATAAGTATATAAATTATATAAAAAAAAATTACATACCACTTGCAATGAATGCAAAAATCATATAATCCTTAGGCATTAGTGAAGGTAAAAAATTAATTAACTTAATATGATACTTCATTGCAATAGCATCTTGGTGCTTGCATGGTGTGCCTGTTATATTAATAGAGCAACTACACATTTCAATATTACTATTTACATTATAAACAACTCCTAAATTATTTTTACTTGGAATTAAGAATTCATTTGCATTTAGTAGCCATTGAATAGAGTCTTTATCTATAGTATCCCAACCTGGATATAAAAATCTTTTTGCAATTTCCATATATCTAGGATATTGATTTTCAAATCCATAAAGATGACATTGATAAAACCTTTCCATATTTTTTGTAATAAAATAAAAAACTTGAATGGAATTATATGCTTTGGTTCTGGCAAAAATAATATCCTTAAGCAAACCAAAACTATGCTCTACATAATTATTTGTGTGGTTGCCACATATTAATAAATTTATACAAAAGCAATAAGCCCAATACTGATGACGATTTCAAAGTATCTCATAATGCTTTTCAAGTAATGGATATATTTGATAATAATTGCTTCTTAATTCTTGATAAAACTTATTCATTTCAATTTCTGTTTGTGCATAACAATTTTTTTCATTTGATTCATTATATTTATTCAATCTTCTTTATTAATACCATGTTTTAAATTATAAAGCCAGTGCCAGAATACTTGTAATATATAAAACGTGCATAAAAGTCTGTTTAACTGTGGCCAACAAAGTTTTAATGCTTTTCTTTCTGCTACGAAGTTATCAGTTAAAAAATTTTGTGGTCCTATATCATATCCTCAACCAAAAAATACATATTTTGGAAAAATTAATTTCAAAAGATTAATTGCTTTTCAATTGTAATTCCGAGTTCATCAGATGTAATAAATACATCTAGTGGTAATGTGTCTACTATATAGCTTGTATACAAGAGTGTTATAGATGTATTTAAAGATTCAAATGATGCAGAAGTATCTATGTAGCAAATCTCACCTGCTTTATAAACTTCTTTATACACTCGACTTATTTTTTTTTTTTTTTTTTTTTAATATTAAAGGTAACCACTTAGGCCATTGGCATGAGCTTTATTTCGGATAGTTACG